TTCTATATCCCTTTAAATATATAAAAACTATTCTTAGCTTGGAGATCACTCAAACACTTGTCTGGTGCAATCAGATATGTCTTTAAACTATGCTTCAAATGTTCAAGGAAATAACTGATAGGATTGAAAATTCCAGGAGAGCACAGAAGTCATAAAAAAAAATTGAGCTAGGCTTGGTGGCTCATGCCTATAATCCCAGCATTTTGGGAGGCCCAGATAGGAGGACTGCTTGAGCCCAGGAGTTCAAGAGCAGCTTTGTTATATAAAAGACTGTGATAATGAATATGTTATGCTTTGTTGGTCATATACAGTCTCTTTGTATATTCTTTTACTATTTTTATTCTATATCCCTTTAAATATATAAAAACTATTCTTAGCTTGGAGATCACTCAAACACTTGTCTGGTGCAACTTGGACAGGTCTAAACTATGCTTCAAATGTTCAAGGAAATAACTGATAGGATTGAAAATTCCAGGAGAGCACAGAAGTCATACAAAAAATTGGGCTAGGCTTGGTGGCTCACAACTATAATCCCAGCATTTTGGGAGGTCCTGCAGAGGAGGACTGCTTGAGATCAGGAGTTCAAGACCAGCCTGGCCAAGATGGTGAAACCTGTCTCTACTAAAAATACAAAAATTAGCTGGGCATGGTGGCGGGTGCCTGTAATCTCAGCTACTGGGGAGGCTGAGGCAGAGAACTGGTTGAACCTGGGGGGAGGCGGAGGTTGCAGTGAACCAAGATAGCACCACTGCACTCAGCCTGAGGACAGAGCTAGACTCAGTTATGCAAGAAGCAGCAGCAGCTATTGGGTAAGTTTGATATTGCTGTAATGATTTTCTAGTCATTCTCTGATATATACTTAGCTTTTGTTTTTCTTTTTACTAATGTGTATAGTTTTGTTTGTATGTGTGCATTTCATGCTTACAGAGGGATAATTCAATGTTATTTGTTATTTTCTGTAGAGTAATTTTTAAGATTTTATTCTTAATTGTGTTTTTCATAGATTAAGGTTAAACTTAGTCTATTGTGCCACCACATCTGGCTATTTTTTAGTTTAGTAGAGATGAGGTGAACCACCACCAGGGCTGCTCTTGAACTCCTGGGCTCAAGCAGTCCTCCCCATCTGGGCTCCCAAAATGCTGGGATTATAGTTGAGCCACCAAGCCTAGCCCAATTTGTATGACTTCTGTGCTCTCCTGGAATTTTAATCCTATCAGTTATTTCTTGAACATTTGAAGCATAGTTTAAAGACATATCTGATTGCACCAGACAAGTGTTTGTTAGATCTCCAAGCTAAGAATAGTTTTTATATATTTAAAGGGATATAGAATAAAATAGGAAAAGAATATACAAGAGACTGTATGTGACCAACAAAGCATAACATATTTATTATCTGGCCTTTTATATAACAAATGTGCTGATCCCTGATATAAATCTTTTCTGGATCTGTTTCTGTTGTGTTAGTGATAGTGTCTTATCTTCATCTATGCTGGGTTATTTTTGATTTCGTGCTGGACATTATACATGAAAAATTGGAGAGGCAAGTAAAAAGCACTAATAAATCTTGAACCACCTTCATGCAATCAGATTGAGGTGATCCATAGATGGGTTTCAGTCTTTCTGAGGGCTGCTTAATTTCTGGTTCACTAGTATAGTATGGCCTTTTGAAAGTCCAAACTAAAGCACCCTTCTTGGTGCACTCTGACTGCTGAATCTCCTGAAATGCCTGCTCAGCTTGCTGGTCTCCTAACTGCCTCTCAGCTGGCAGGCATCTGCCTCTGTTGAAATTGGCAGATACCTCTGGGAGAAAAGTGGCCCAAAACGTCATGCTCATCACTGTAGATTGCCATCTATCTTTTTAATTCCTCGTTTGCTTTGTTAATAATCTGTGGCTTTTATACATATTTTAAAAATATTTTTATTTATATATTTATATTTTTCCTAGCCATTCCAGTTCTTAGTGGGAAGGCTGGTTCAAATTCCTTTGCTTACCATTATTAGAACTGTAGCTCTTCTCTTATATTTACTTTGCCTGTGAATAGTAAAGTGTTAGTTTTCTATACTTTTTTTCACTTTTGCTTTTTTATATTATTTCAGATAGCGTCATTATTTCCCATGTATGTTGTGGGATACATTAAACCAAGCAAATTTCGGAAGATCATTTATGTGAACATGGTAACATTTTTAATATATATAAGTCAAATATTAAGACAGGTCCTCAGAGTTTATAAAATCGAAGTGATTCTGTTTGGTAACATTTAATACATATGCTATTGGTGATATCCAGAAGGAAAACTGGAAATGTATATTATAGATGTCATATTATAACAGATTATAGTTTCAAGTAGACTGTATATGTGTTTTGCTCTCTAAAACTTTTATTTTTATGTTTTATTTATTATTATTATTACTGCTTTTAAAACTGCCTTTTCTTTCTCAGACATGAGATTTTTAGCATTTTGCCTGAATATGACACTCTAACTGAAATTTTATATTCTTGCAATTTTGTTTTTGGCTTAGGTCCCAAACATAGCTTCCTTAAAAACATAAAAAGTTAGTAAAGCTTCATAAATAATAGAATTCCTGAAGTCTAACAAAAATAAGATTAGTAAAACTAGTATTTATAACTTAAGTCTTTCTTGTTATATTACTCCATTGATAAAACAATAGAAATCATAGACTTATTTTTCATTGTTCCAAGTAGCAGATGGAGAAAAAGTGAAATTCTGCCAGATAGAGTTTATAGTCTTGAATTTTAATACTTAGAATCTAGCAGTGACTTGAAATTCTATTGTCATTTGGCCAAGAGTCATTCATCTTTATGCAAATACATTTGCATTAGAAATGGCTATATACCTACAAAGTATGCATTATGCTGATATATGTAATAACCATAAAATGTATTTTTTTCACTTTTTCTCAGATTTCAGTTATCCTTAGTTTCATTTTGATGTTTGGAAATTTAATGTACTTATCTTCTTATTATTCTTCATCTTTGTTAATGACGTGGGTAAGTGTTTAGTTCATAAAGCTGGTCTTTTTTAACCTACCAAATAGCATGTTTTCCTGTCTAAAACAGTTATAAGAGAATAAATAGGCCCTTTCCTGATTATCATTCAACATGATGCAGTTCTTCCCAAGCAAACCTTTTTGTCTATCTTATCCTTGAAAAATATTATAGTAGGAAGTTTTTCTTTTTAAGACAATGCCCAAGTAAATATTTAAAAATTATCATAAAGTAATAAGACTTACTTTAAACATATCCCATTTTATGATAAAAATGACTTCTTTCTCCTAAGTCACTTGAGGACGTTAAGTACTCATTGCAGTGACACTGCCACTGCCCAAAACATTTTTGGAACTCCTCTGAGTTTCCTTCACAGATACGGCACATTCTTTAGAATGTCTTCACTGATGGCAAATCTTTGCCTTTCAAGAGTGGATTTGATTTTTGGAAATGACCAAAATTTTGTGAATATTTTGTGTAATTGGGCTGGGTAATACAGATCTTGCTCAAACGATGGTGTGACAGTAAAGTCATAAGACCAATTATTTTGCACCTATAACTAAATTATTTCTGAAGGCAGTTTAGAAAGTGTAGTTCCAAACTACTTTGAGCAATGGCAAGACAATTAGAATAAGTGTGTAGTCTGCTCACAGGAACTACATGGAATGACACTCATTTGGATGTGTGTTTGGAAGGGTGGTTTAGTGAATCAGTTCTATTACACTGTAGTCATATTTCTGATGTCTATAAGCCAGAACCTAGAATATTCTCCTCTACCTCCCATCGCCACGCCTATAACTAAAATTATTTCTGAAGGCAGTTTAGAAAGTGTAGTTCCAAACTACTTTCTGGAGCAGTAATGCAAAGGATAATTAGAGGCAAGGTCTGCTCACAGGAACTACATGGAATGACACTCATGTGGATGTGTGTTTGGAGGGTGGTTTAGTGAATCGCCCTCATTACACCAGTCATATTTCTGATGTCTATGGACAGAACCTAGAATATTCTCCTCTACCTCCCATCGCCACACTGATCAGAAATGATACCAACTTTCTGATACCTATAAGCCAGAACTTAGAATAGCCTCACCTCCCATCGCCACACACTGATCAAATGAAATAACTACAATGCTGTGCATTACAAATTTTCCATGCATGGTGCAGTGATTGACCTTTTGGGATTGCCTCATGTTTTAACATTTTTGCTTTCATATCATTTTTCCCTCATAGTAATTCCTCCTTTTCTCTCCTGAAAATGCTCTTCTTTCCAACATTTTGTCAAACTATTTCAGCATTACAGAGTAGAGGACTCCCAATACTGCGCTTTATCTACCTCTTTTAATGAAACTTTCATTTTGAAATATAGTACAGATAAAAACTACATAAAGCAAATGTTTTGTGTGCTGGACTTAAATAAGTATAATACTGATGAGTACAGTCTCCCCTCAGTGTCTGCAGGGATTGATTCCAGGACACCCCCAATCCCTGTGGATACTAAAATCTGCAGATGTTCAAGTTTCTTATGTAAAATGGTGTACTATTTACATATAACCTATGCACATCTTCCTATATACTTTAAATCATCTCTGGATTACTTATAATGTCTAATGCAATATAAATACTATGCAAATAGTTGTATACTGTATGATTGTTTTTTCATTTGTACTTCTTAAATTGTATTATTATTATTTCAAATATTTTCTATCTGCTGTTGGTTGAATCTGTAGCGATTAGAACCCATGGATGTGGAGGGCTGACTGTGTTATGTATTATGTGGCAAACATTCTTAAACTACCATTATATCAAAATTATAACTTTCTAAGCAAGTGTAGAAGCCCTCCATGTGACCCGTCCCAAAGCACTCCCTTGTACTGCCCTAAAACAATAATGACTGTCTTGATGGCTATGATAGTAACTTTCCAGCATTCCTTTATAGTTTCATCACTTAAGTTTCTCTTTTTAGCTACAAGTTTCCTGCATATCTGCCTGGTTTTATCCTCATGAAATTTATTTGTTGAAGAACCGGAGTCAGAATATGTGGAGGATTTCATGGTCCAGATTTTGCTTTTTGAGTTCTTGTGGTGTAGCTAAGCATGTTCCTTTGTCTCATGGTATAGCTTAATGTATTAGAAACTGGATCTGAAACTTGGATTGCCTCAGGCTTGTTCACTTTGGCAAGTCTATAGTATTGTTCTTTCATTAAAAGGCACATAATGTCTCTCTTTATGGTACTAGCCCTCAGTGCCTTATGATGGATCTGTTAATTCAATAGGGATTGCAAAGTGGTCACATTCTAATCCGTCATCTAGCGTTCATTTAGGAAAAGTTAAGTAGGTGTTGATTTACCTCTTTATTTGCAAGTTTTACAAATAATGAATTGATTCCCTGTCATCTTCCAAATGTGGGCTCTTTGGGCTGTGCATGTGTGTGTTTAAGTTTCATTCGGAACATAGGGATTTAAACATTTTTGATGTATTTCAAGTTAATTGAAATTATTATCTTTACTCATTCTCAGATTGTTTCTTTGTTGACCAGGGGAGCCTCTTTAGGGTTCTCCTGAGTTCTCTGACGTGACCCTGTGGTCTGATAGCACACTTGTGTCATGTATGATAGGTTTTTCCAGGTCTCTCTTGTGGACTCCTGTCCAAACCTGGAGGAAGCCATTCCTGCAAGACACCCTCCTCGCCTTTACTGGGGAAATGGTGTTTTAAGACTGCAGTCTGGGACCCAAGGATACTCACTGCTACTGAGTAGGTCATTGTTTCTAGGCCTTCTTAGTGGACAGAGCTAGGAAATATCATAGGGTGCAGGCTCTCTCTCTTTCTTTAAAAATCTGCCATGAAAATTTGTGTGTGTGTGTGTGTGTGTGTGTGCATGCATTTATGGTAAACTAGCTCACAAGTTCTGATGGATATTTCCAAATCAAATTCAAGAATATAGGGTTTTTACTTAACTCTTTTTTGTTTGTTTGTTTCTCTTGGGTCTCAAGAAGCCAGGGGATGATAGAATATCACATATCCAGTTGTTTGTTTGTTTCTCTTGGGTCTCAAGAAGCCAGGGATGATAGAATATCACATATCCAGTTGCCTTCTCCCAAAGTGTATGCATGAGAATTGCTATACTGCACCACGCACATGATTATGAGAGCTGAAAGATTTTTTTGCATATCCTTTTTTCATTCCTCTTCACCCATTTTTAAACTAATTCTATCTGTATTGTCAGAACATAGAGTACTGAATACTGTACTTTCTGCCTTATCAACCTTATTTCATGTTTTTATGTGAACAAATACGCATTTATTTATCAGCATTCTTTATGTCGTTATCTCCTAGTTATCTTAATATTTTAGCTTGTTCTACAAGAGAGTTCTGCCTTCTGCCCTGATGGGTTTGTCACAGTTTGTTTTATTGCCTTTACTTGAAAGTGAAGGATTCTATGTAAAATTCTGCTCTTTCCCATTTTACTTTTTCTTTCTTTTTTCTTTTTCTTTTTCTTTTTCTTTTTTTTTTTTTTTTTCTTTTGAGACAGAGTTTCGCTCTTGTTGCCCAGGCTGGAGTGCAATGGTGCCATCTTGGATCACTGCAACCTCCAACTCCTGGGTTCAAGCAATTCTCCTGCCTCAGCCTCCCGAGTAGCTGGGATTACAGGTGCCCGCCCCATGCCCCTAATTTTTGTAGTTTTAGTAGAGTTGGGTTTCACCATGTTGGCCAGGCTGATCTCAAACTCCTGACCTCAGATGATCCGCCTCCTCTGCCTCCAAAGTGGCTTGGGATTACAGGTGTGAGCCACCACACCCGGCCGTCTCTTTTATTTTTTTGTGTGTTGAGTACTTGTTTTACTTCTGTTCAAACGGTTGCTATTAAAAGTGTTGTAAGTTTTGATATGCAAAACGTATCACTTTCTCTTCTTGAATACTTTTTATCTTATTTTTTTTTTACTCCCAAGTTTCTTCTCTTCACCTTTTATGTTCTTACTGCATTAGTTCATTTCATATTCCTTCTACTTTAATTTATGTCTGAAATTATTGTTTTATTTCAAATTCTTTGATTTCTGTCAGCTCATTTCTCAGTTTTTCTAATTTTGATTTGTGTCATTCTTTCTACATATTTTTAATATTTTAAATGTCTTGTTTTAAGTGGCTCATTTTGAAATATAGCTTTTGTTTAATTATTCAGTCTTTGTCCTTAAGTAATGGTGTTAGCCATAGGATTTTGCAGAGAAGCCCTTATCAGGTTGAAGTGTGTTCCTCTGTCTAGTTTGTTGAGTTTTTTCCAAAAATGAATTTTGAAGATATGATATAATCATATAGTTTCTCTTTTCTGTTTTGTTAATGTGCTGCATTATATTGGTTGATTTGCAAATGTTATAGCATCTTTGCATTCCTTGAATAGACCTCACTTTGGTCATGCTGTATTATTATTTTTTGTTGGATACAGCTTTCTAAAATTGTGTTTATAATTTTTGCACCTAAGTTCATGACAATAATTGGTTCATAGTTTTCTTATGATGTCTTTGTCTTTTTTGGCTACATGGCAATGCTGGCCTCATAAAGTGAGTTATGAAGTGTTCTCTCTTCTCCAGTTTTCTGAAGAATTTGTGTAAAATCATTATGATTTCGTCTCTAAATATTTGGTAGAATTTACCAGTGAAACCATTTAGAGTTTTCTTTGTAGGAATGTTTTTAACTACAAGTTCCATTTCATTAATAAGATATAAGGCTATTCGTGTTATCCATTTCCTCTTGAGTGAACTTTGGTTGTATCTTTCAAGGAATTTAAAAATTTTACTTCTGATGTCAAATTTATTGACAAAGGCATAATGTTTTCTTTCCTTTATGTATCTATAGTATCTGTAGTGATAGTTCCTCTTTCATTCCTGGCATTTGATGTTTGTGTTCTGTTTTTTTTTCTCTGATCAGTCTGGTTAGAGGTATATCAATTTTATTAATTTTCTCAAGGAACCAGCTTTTGGTTTCATTGATTTGCTCTACTGTTTTTGTTTTCTGTTTCATTGATTTCTACTCGATCTTTATTGCCTCATTTCTTCTGCTTACTTTGGGTTTTTGTCTCCGTTTTTTCTAGTTTTTTTTTTTTTTAAAGGTATAAATCTAGGTCATTAACTTGAGACCTTTCTTGTTTCTTTTTTAAACACAGGTGTTTAGTGCTATAAACTTTTCTCCAAGCACTGCTTTATCAGCCCGTCCACATATTTTGATAAAGTGCATTTTTAAATTTTTCATGTTATTGTCACACATTTTACTGAAACATATGATATAGAAATCTCAATAACTTTTTGTTTTTATTTAAACAGTAAATTACCTTTTAAAAGTATTTGAAATTTTTAAAATGTTATATATTTACCCTGTAGTTACCATTTTCAGTGCCTTTTACTTGTGTGCATCAGATTGACCTACTGTATTCCTGCTGTCTGAAGAACCTCCTTTAATGTTTCTTTTAGTGCCAAATCACCTGGTCATGAAGTCTTTATTTTGCCTTCATTTTTGAAAGGTATGTTTCACCAGGCGTAAATTTCAGGTTAACAGCAATTTTCTTTAAGAATTTAAGAGATGCTGCTTGACATCTTGTTTGCATTTTTTCTTATGAAATCTGTTATCCTGTACTTTCGTCTGTAAATAATATGTTACTTCTCTAAGTGTTCCCAGCTAGAGATAAGATTTTCTGTTTTACCACTGATTTGAGCCGTTTGTTTATATAATGTACCTTACTATAGCTTTCTTTATCTTCTTGTATTTAAGTTATTTGAAATTCTTAGATCTTTAGGTTTATAATTTTTATCAAATTTGGAAAATTTTGGCCACCTGTTTCTTCAGAAATATATTTCTGCCTCCCACCTCCCACTTTCATTTAGGGACTCTCATTGTGCATATTGGGCTGCCAGTGTTCAGTGGTTCATGGAGCCTATGTTTATTTTGTTCTTTATTTAATTTTGGAGAGTTACTATTGCTGTGTCTTCAAGAGTTCACTGGTTGTTTTTCTGTGGTATCTAACCTGTTGTTAATCACATCCAGTGTATTTCTCATTTAAGTCATTGTAGTTTTCGTATCTAAAAGTTCATTTTGGATCTTTGA